CCAGGCTTGCACTTGGGGTGGTCAGGGAGACGGCATGAGGAAGCTGGCCTGTCAGTGATGCCAGGACAGAGAAGTTCCCACTCGAGCTTTGAAGTAAGCTCCTCTCTGAGTAGAACTAGTAAAACCATGTACAATGGCTACAGTTAGCCCTTGTGGGAGTCAGCCCAGAGGCTGTTGTGAGTCATTGGAGAGTTGCAGACAGCCCCATCTGGAGATCTGGGGCAGTCTCAGCTTGCAGCAGGCCTGACTAATTTAGGAGCTAACATCTGACCAGTGGGGTCCTGCTGTTCCAGAGGCTGTATGTCTGTCCAGCTTTAAGTCTCAGTCCCAGGTTTGTCCCCCACCCCTCTCCCCAAGAGACACCTTGGGCCGTTGATTGACCCTCCCAAGCTTCAGTTCCCTCTTCTCCAACAGTCTTGGCTTGGCTCAGAGGCAGACTCTGTGCATCAGTCTGGTTTTTACGGTGGCCACTTTCTTGGCAAGGCAGAACAGAGAGGGACTGTCTCTTCTCCAGACCCATCAAGTCACAGGCTACTGGCTAGTACTCCAGCCTCTTACAGCCATGTCCTGTGGCAAAGGGGCCAATCAGGCTAAGGAATGCCTTCTGACTTATCTGATAGGTCTGCTCTCCACAAGTGGACAAGCTGGTCATCTGGTGTACCTGGTTGAATACTGCCCCCATCCCCAAATTCATGTCCACCCAGAACCTCACATATGACATTATCTGGAAAGAGGGTCTTTGCACATGTAATTGTTAAGAAGTTGGATAGGAAATAATTTTGAATGTAGGATGAACCTTACATCCAATGACTGGTTTCCTAATACAATGAGAGGGCAGAAAGAGAAAAGCCATGCGACTAGAATAAATGTCTGATAAGTCCCCAGGTCTGTGATAATGTTCCGAAGGCCCTAAGAAATGAATATGTGGGTGTTTACAGATTAGCTATGTGCTCATGAGCTTGTCCCTGGGATGTGGATGTCCTTGACCAAGCACTGCTGGCTGGGGTGTGGGAGTCACCCAGATAGGACTCCAGGAACTGGGTCCCCACAGCTGCCATCTAGCTGCCAGCCTTTATTTTTTTATTTTTAAAAAAATATATTTTTATTGATCTTAGAGAGGATGGGGGAGAGAGACAGAAACATCAATGATGAGAATCATTGATCAGCTGCCTCCTGCACACCCAGCAGTGGGGATCAAGCCTGCAGCCTGGGCACGTGCCCTTGACTGGAATCAAACCTGGGACCCTTCAGCCCACAGGCTGATGCCCTGTCCACTGAGCCACACCAGCCAGGGCTGCCAGCCTTTATTAAAAAGCTATTGTTATATACTTCAGGCAGACAGCAAAAGCACAGGTAATAGACCAAACACACTTTGTACCTTTCGTACAGCAGAGCAAGGCAGAAATGATTGACTTAGTTATTTGTTCTTATATTAAACTAGTGGCCTGGTGCATGAAATTCATGGGGGGAGGGCGGTGTCCTTCAGCCCGGCCTGCACCCTCTCCAAGTCTGTTGCTTTTTCTACTTTATTGAAAAGACAGTACACTTTTTAAAAAAATATATTTTATTGATTTTTTGAGAGGAAGGGAGAGGGATAGAGTTAGAAACATCAATCAGCTGCCTCCTGCACACCTCCTACTGGGGATTTGCCTGCAACCAAAGTACGTGCCCTTGACTGGAATCGAATGTCTGGGACCTTTCAGTCCGCAGGCCGATGCTCTATCCACTGAGCCAAACCGGTCAGGGCGAAAAGACAATACACTTAGTCAGTGGCCAACAAAGCTGCCAGCCAGGGAGTCTGCCTTTTGCCCATGGCCTTGCCCATCTGCAGTGTGGCAGGTGACGAGGGAGGGTGTACTGTTTGGGGTTCTGCCATTCTCACAGCAAACATTTTTGTTCCCCATATTTAAACCTGGTGTTTAACTATTTACACTAGTTTTCATCCCTTTTCTTTTTATGTTCAGGTGTGATCTTACTTCCAAGCTACAGAAGTCATAACTGTTCAGGGTAACAAATGAAACCACACAGATATTCAAAGAAAATGCCCTAAGTTTCTAGGGTGACCAAGGTTGATGGGCTGGCTGGTCTCCCTGCCCGCTCTGTTAGGGGGAGGGGAGGAGCCAAGTGGCTTCACTCTGCAGGTGGGCAGAGCCCTGGAGAGCGCCACACCAGCCTAAACTGCCTGCAGCTCCCACCTTTTCCAGGGAGCTGGGATGGTGGGGGCAGGGCACAGATTCAACCTCCCACACTTCCTGCTGTGCCGGAGGGTGCCCCAGAGGACTCTGGGGGGTGATGTCAGCACCAATGCGGGAAGAGGCCTGCTGCAGAGGGGAGGACCCTGGCAGGTACCCAAGGACACAGAGTCCCGCCTGCCTGCGGAGGAGGCTCCCGGACTAGGCTGGGTTGGAGGCTCTTTGCGGGCCTTGGGGGGCCGCCACTCTGTGGGACACAGCAGAGCCTGAGATGGACCTTTACTAAGTATCTCAGTGAGGAACCGAGATGGGCCCCGCCCCCGCAGGCACGTGGCCCTGCCAGGGCCTGAGTCTGGAAGCTTTGTAGCTGCGGTTTGCATTTCCCCCGACTCCAGTTTTGAGGGCATATGGAGGCCCTTTGTGTTTCCCACCATGGATGTCTACGCCAGGCTGAAGTGGTCTTGTTGACGCATTTGTTCAGTTCACTTTAACATTTTCTCATTAGTTAGTTGTCAGCATTTAAGATCTTACACACAATTCCGCACGTCTGCTCTTGTTTGAAAACCAGGCCACGGGTGCACGCTGTGCTCAAGGTGGCTAGGGACAGTGCCCATCCCAGGGCTCCCCTCTCCTGCCTCCTGGGCCCTAAAGTTCAGGTGCAAAATTCCGGTTCCACATTCGCGGATTCGCCCGACACACTCCCGGGAAAGCAGGCACCTTTCCCGGGCTCCAGCCTCCATTGCTCCTGGACTAGAAGCTCGGGGCGAGGGAGGACAGACACTCCGGGACCAGGACCCCCGGACTCAGCCCGCACACTGGATTGTGAGAGCCAAGGCCACTTCTCTCCGGGCGGCTGGAGGGGGCATTAGCCGTCCACGGCTGAGGTGGGGGTCACCGTGGACACTGTCCCTGCAGCGGGAGCCTGGCCCTGTGCCTCCCGCTGCCTCTCCCCAAAAAGGGGAGAAGAAAACCACTGGAAACGTCCATAGCATGACGATCTTTTGATGAACCCCCCAAAAAACCGCAGAGATAACCTTATTCGAAATATTTTATAAAGTTCCGTAAACACGATTTCAGATGACTTACAGGAAACCAGGGGCGGGCAGGGTCTCCAGATGGGTCCGCTGCCCACGGAGCACCGGTCCCCGCGGAGCGGCTGGCTTCCCATGACTTGTCTGGAGACCGAGCGGCCGGGTGACAGGACGGTCACACCGGGGAAGCCTCGGCGGG